AAAGGAGAGCTGTGAGATGGGAACAAGAGAGAAATGAGATATAAATATAAAAGACTAAAGAAAAGGAGAGCTGTGAGATGGGAACAAGAGAGAAATGAGATATAAATATAAAAGACTAAAGAAAAGGAGAGCTGTGAGATGGGAACAAGAGAGAAATGAGATATAAATATAAAAGACTAAAGAAAAGGAGAGCTGTGAGATGGAAACAAGAGAGAAGGACAGAGAAGTAAAGAAGGACGAGAGACAAGAAGGAGATAAATTAAAAAAGAAAAAAAAGAGAAAGAGAAAAGGAGACGAGATAAAAACATGAATGGATGACAGTTTTAGAACAGGTTAGACAGTGTTTTGGATGGATAAGGAAGTAGAAAATATGGGACGGAAGGTAGCGACTAGCGGGAGCGAGGGGAAGGCAACCACAAAATTTTTTCGTCCGCACCACAAATAACGTCACAACTCATCATTATTTCTTCCGACCACACCTTTTTTCATCCGGGCGTTTCTTCTATGCTTCTCGTAGCGGGCAATGTAAACTTAAGGAAAAATGGGTAAGTAGACAATCTTTACAATGAGGGTGGGAATGCTGAATATGGAGGGGGTAGAAGAGGATAAATAGGAAGGGGTACAAAGGCTACTAAGACAAACTAGTTATAAACCATTGCATTTGTTTTAGAATACTGAAAGGATGGATCTCTGACAATGTGCTAAAGAGAAGGGATGGTGACTTACCGAGAAAAATTCAATGAATAAAGTTTTCAGAAAATAAACTAGTCTGAACCTTAAAACTAGATTTAACTTTAATATAAAAATCTAACAAATCTACTTACACAAGCGGGATAAATTTTCAAGAGACAGACACCGAAATCTTGACTTTATACTGTAGTGAGACCCCCGCCCCACCCACCCACCAAAAAAATTGTTATTGTAAGTTATAAAATGATGGTTTTTATAACATTTAAAGTGGCATAAGAATGTAGAAATTAAACAAAGAATTATTAATCAAAAAGCTAAAATTCTATAATTCATTTAAAATAATGCGAACCCTCCTTTGCTTAAGAATGTGAAATGTTAATTACCTGTATGCCTTCTCATGTGTCTTGTCATATACTTTGGTTTCTTGCAAAAATATTCACAATGTTCACATTTAAATACTCTGTCGGGAAACTTTTTTCGTCCCTTGTCAGATCGAACCTTGGAATTTGGTTTCTTGAATCTTTTCTTCTTGATTAAATTCCCCTTTTCTTCTGGTTTCAGAAATCTTAAATGTTCTTTTCAGTAGAATTCAAATAATTAGACTCATGATATTTTTATTAATTAAACTGTATTTGTGTGAAATTAAAGCTAGTTATTTTCATTTGTTGAGCTGAAAGTTTTGAGGTTTGCTTTTTACCCACTTTTAATTAAGCTTCCAGTGTGTTCTGCAGTAATCTGCAGTACACTGACCGAAGAAATAGCTTAGCGTTTAGTGGTGAGTGTACCTAATAACATAGTATGATTTAAGAAGTTCCCTTTTCCGTCCGAACTCGGATCATCAAGGTCTGCACTTAGATCTTCTTCATCATAATTCTTCTCCTTCCTTGACACGTCCCTGCTCTTCCCCTTCTCTACCTTCCTTAGTCTTTGATCGTCTTTATTTTCTCTCGGAATCTTCTGGACAATGCTATCTGCTTCCTCCATGGTTAGAATTGAACTTGTAATGGGAACCAACTCCTCTTTTATCTAAACAAAAATACTTTTTAACTAACGACGGTCAAACTGAAAACTCAGTTGCACAGAGGAGAGGGGGCCAAATGAAAATTCAATCGATCTTTTAACTTTAAAATTGATTTTATGTGCTTAGAATAAATCTGTCTTCCATTGCAGCTTGACTGTCTTAGTATACACGGGTGGGGGGGGGGGGGACCACCTCGCCCTCATCCCCTGGATTCGTAAAAGTTCTGGGTATCGCAGGTGGGAGAGGGGGGTGCGTGCACGCTCCTTTTGCTTGTTCGTTTAAGAGTACTGATTGGTTAGATTAAGAAGATACGTATAAATGAATGGATTGTAAAGATTAGCCTTGAGATACGACCACAAAAAGAGGTCTCCAATAAAATTTCTTTGAAATGTAATGTTCGTTCTAAAAAATAGATTAATTCACCTCGATTTGGTTTTCATCCTTCATCTCTTCTTTGGTTTCCATTCTAAAATCTGTGCATTATCCAAATTGAAAGAAACATTAGAACAAACTTAACACACTTTCTTAAGAAGGTGGAAGTTTAAGACATGCAAAGATCAACCATAGTTTCAAATTAAGATAACTTGTTATTCGTCTGATGACTTGATTTACCAAAAAGACGAGTTTTCAAACTTGAAAGAGCAATTTTTTGAAAAACATTTCAACGTTTTATTTCGTTTCTTGACAATGTTTACTGAAATCAGAGGTTGTGAGTGTACACACTAACACCGGCCTCGAGAAAGGGAAGAAAGTCAGAGGATGCTGAAATGATGGCGGGGATATTTTTATTTGCGGATTTTCTAATCTTACGAAAATTGATGTTTACGAGACAAATAACAATATTGTATCATATCTATTATCTTTTTAACAAGCAATTGTTTAATTATAATTTATGAAAATTTAAAATATTATTTATTAAGAATTTACAGGATAACATCGTTGGTCTGAAAATCATTCACCATGCGAAGCTGTTGATCACAAAACCACCAAGATTGATTCATAATAAATTATCTTGTATAAGGAGAATTTTAGATATTATTATTTTAAAAATTACATGTCATGTTTGATAATGAACCAAACCTAAGAAAATAAACAAAGCTTAAGTTGTCGAAACTTTACCTAGATTTAAGACTGAACTGAGTTGTAATTTCGTTAGTTCTAGAACTTTAGTGATTGAAAGTAGAGAACTAAAGGGACTGTCATTAGAATTTCGAGTTACCTGTCATTTGAAAGATTTAAGTATTAAAGAGTTACCATGGACATTTCAATCATTGTTTATCGTACAAAGCGTTGAAGGGTACCGTTATGAATCGGACATGCCACTTAATAACTCAAATAACGTCTACAGTCTCTTTAAATGAGAACTTCCTATGAAACAAATCAAATCCCAATATGTTGGTTAAGATTGTGAAAACAGGACCCTTTATATTTATATATTGTATGAACAAAAAGCTTATACTTTCAAACAATATAACTCTTTTTTGTGTATTTCACTCTGAGGGATTGTAAAATCCGCTTTTAGTATGGTTAAAACTTTTTAACGTGAAAAATGCATCGGCAAAACTTTAAACAGTAGAAAATTTGAAATAAGAAGCATCATTCATTGAAGAATGAAAGAAAAACTTTTTCTTACTTAACGACTAAAAAAAATTATCATTAAGGGAGCTAGGCCCTCCTTATAGTTTTTTAAATTTTTTAATGTAGATCGGATCCGAATCCAAGGAACTACAATTTTGTGGATCTTCTGGATCGGGATCCATTAGATCCACAACATTGTAGCACCCTGGATTCGGATCAACAAAATTGTAGCTCTTGGATCCGGATTCATTAGATCCAAGAGCTACAATTTTGTTAATCCGAATCCAGGGATCTATAATGTTGTGGATCTAATGAATCCGGATCCAAGAGCTACAATTTTGTTGATCCGAATCCAGGGAGCTACAATGTTGTGGATCTAATGAATCCGGATCCAAGAGCTACAATTTTGTTGATCCGAATCCAGGGAGCTACAATGTTGTGGATCTAATGGATCCGGATCTAGGGAGCTCCAATGTTGTGGATCTAATGGATCCGGATCCAGGGAGCTGCAATTTTGTTGATACGGATCCAGGGAGCTCCAATGTTGTGGTTCTAATGGATCCGGATCCAGGAAGCTGCAATTTTGTTGATCCGGATCTAGGGAGCTACAATGTTGTGGATCTAATGGATCCAGTTCCAAGGATCTGCATTGTTGTGGATCTAATGGATCCGAATCCAGGGAGCTACAATTTTGTGGATCCGGATTCAGGGAGCTACAATGGTGTTGATCAGGATCCAGTGGGCTACAATGTTGTTGATCCGGATCCAGGGAGCTACAATTGTTGGGGATCTAATGGATCCGGTTCCAAGAAGCTACAATGTTGTAGATCCAAATCCAAGCTGCTACTATGGGGTGGATCCGGTTCCAAGGAGCTACAATGTTGTAGATCCAGATCCAAGCAGCTACTATGGTTTGCATCCGGATCCAGGGAGCTACTTTTGTGTGGATTTATGATCAGATTCCAAGGAGCTACAGTTAAACCCAGAACATCGGAGCCATCGACAGAATGTGTAGAATGTCGTCCTAACAATTTTTCATTGTTTTTTATTATTATTTGACCTAATTTTAATTGTATAACTATATAAATTACTATAAAATGAGCGAAAAACAGTTTAAAAGACCTTAATATAGTTATTCAAGTAAAAAACTAAATATCTGCAGAATTCTATCATCAGTATTATCAGTAAGGAAAACAACGTTTTATCAATTCTCTCGATGTCTTGGAAGTTCTGGGTTAAACTGTACAATGGTATAGATCAGGATCAAAAGCTTTGTTGTACAATAAGAAAGTATGAGAACACATTATAAACATCTCCTGAATTGTGTAGGATCTGTATCCTGAACTTCTTTACAACTTCTATTTTTATCTTAGTTAAAACTTTTTACTTTTTTCGATTTAGCCATTTTCTTGTTAGTTTGGTGACTTCATGAGAAGAATGAAAACTATGAACATCAAAATTATTAACATAACAAAACTTGGTAGCAGATGAAAAACAGCTGATCTTTATAGTGTATTATTCAATATAATGAAGTAAAAGAAAATAATAAAATTAAAGATTGCTCACATATAATAGACATATAAACCACGATGTATGTATAATAATTTTTCTTCTAGTAATTTTATAACTTTGTATTTTAAGCCTTTTTATTTTGTTTAGTCGAAATATCACGATCAAGTATTAAAAAACCATTTAATCATTGAACTTATCTAGCAATATCATCAATCACTCAATCTAATGATTGATAAATTTTTAAGTTTTATAAAATATGTTGAATCGGATTTAGAACTTTCAATAGTTAACATCCAGTCTCCTAAACAAAGATTAGTATCAAATTATTTTGAAAATCATTATGATATATTTTCATTCTACTAACTCTCCATCCAGGTTCTTGAAAAACCCCCCCCCCCCCCCATTATTTGAAAATCCTATTTTCTTTGCAAGACTTCTCCACGACAAGAAATATTTCTAAAATCTTTCAATTTCTACTGAAAATGTTTCTCCTTTCTCACATAGGCCATAATTTTTAATTTCTTTCAAATTACTTAAAATGTTTTTATTCATTATGTCCTACCTAACATCCACATGCGTCCTTGTTTCTATTCGTATCCTGCTGGTTAGGACGGATCAGATCTGGCATCTCAGGGAAACTGTCCTCTGTTTCCTGAGCTAATGCATTCCTTGCTATCGTCTGAACACAATCTTACTGATTTTTTACGCTAAACCATAAATTGTAAAAGTCACTTTCAAAGAGAAACAACAATTGAAAATAAACAACTTTCAGGTAACAAATTCGGATATCGAAAATATTCTGGATCAGAAAAATCTCCATTTCAAACCTCTGATGCTGATTACTTAAAATTAAATTTGTGTTAATGTGTTGCGTTAAAATTTGCTGAAATTATCAAGTTTTTCAACAATAAATATTAAATATTAAAATTCAGTTTGAGACATATCTTAAACAACAAGAATGAACTGTTTTATTTTGAAATAAAGTAGAAAAATCTAAATCATAAAAACATAAATGTATATTGTGTAACTGAAGCTGACTCATGAAAAGAAAAACGTGTCTTATGACACATAGCACAATGTCTGAATTGAACAACATGAATAAATATTAAATAATTTCGATGAACTGTGTAGTGTGTACAGCTTAAAGTTAGAAAAAATAAATCTCGCTGAAATAAGTCAATTCTGATAGAAATAAAGTTTAAATCGGATTTTATTGCAATAAAAGGAATTTAACAGCGAGGATGGGTAAGGACGGAAATCTATAAATTTGAACAGGAAATTAACTTTCAAATCTATTCTTATGGGGAAAGTTGGCTCGGGAGAGGGGTGATTTTTTTTTTTTTTTGGGGGGGGCACTTTACCTGAAAAGCTTGCTCTACATTGATCGCTTCCTTGGCCGAAGTTTCGAAGTAGGGAATATCATTCTTCGATTGACACCAATACTGAGCACGCTTAGTGCTTACCTTAACAAAGTGAAGCCTGGAGTCAAGTTTAGAGTCAAGTCTAAAGTCAAGTCTAAAGTCAAGTCTAAAGTCACGTCTTAAGTCACGTCTAAAGTCACGTCTAAAGTCACGTCTAAAGTCAAATCTAAAGTCAAGTCTAAAGTCAAGTCTAAAGTCAAGTCTAAAGTCAAGTCTAAAGTCAAGTCTAAAGTCAAGTCTAAAGTCAAGTCTAAAGTCAAGTCTAAAATCAAGTCTTAAGTCAAGTCTAAGTATAAAATCTGTTTACCGATCTATTGTCAAGATCCACTTTGTTTCCGAGAACCACAAAGGGGAAGTTGTCTGAGTCCCTGGGAGAAGCCTTAATAATAAATAATTATTATAATTCAGGTTTAGCAGGAGGCTTGCTATTAACTATTCAAACAACTGTATTAATAAAACTGTTGTCGTCAAGTGACCTTCCATTCGAAAGAGGGGCATGCCCATAGATAAAGATAGATTGCGCATAAGTCGACATTTTTCATCTTGAAAGATATAAATGTACAGAGATGTTTTAAAGATATTCCTATTATATAGATTAACTAGGTCGGTTGTGAACATTGGCTGTTCTTATGTCATTGAGTACTTGTGGTGTACATGAGTTCTGTAGAGAGAAATTTATGTTAGTTTAGTCCTTCTCATGTCCTTCTTCAGTTCTCGTCAAGATGATATATTGCTCTGTGAAATATTGTTGTTCAAATAGTTCCATTCCCAGTTATTTTACACTCTATTATGAAATCCATTAAGACACCAAACCACCCCGCTTATCATTGAAGTACACTTTGACCCCTAGAAGTATGAGTTCGCGGACTGTACAATTCTTGGTGATTTTGCGTACATAAGCTATCTATGTTTATTTATTTATCTATGGGCATGCCCGATTCAAAACAGTCGCCCTGAATCTATATTTAATCAATTACGTGGAAGATATTGTAGTTGGTCTAAATCAAATCAAATTATGAAGTTTAGAAAAAGCTTCAGGCTTCATTAAACAGACCCAAGACCGGATCTGAATTAAATTTTGACATTTGTTATAATATAGTATTTATTTCGGACATGGATTTTGTAGCAGAAATGCGCGAGTTACGTGATAGAGAACCCACAATTGAAAATATTAATCTTAAAGAGAAAATTATAGCTATTTTGTGCAATCAGACAAAGGTTCAAAGGGTGCCGTTGTGAATCTGACGTCACTCTGAAAAGGAGCGTCACTTCACTACAGTTAATGTCTAACTATCCTTCTACTTGAAGACTGAGGAGTATCTAAATGTAATTTAACAGCTAATTAATAACTATCCAATGTTTAAGTTTCGCCAATTTCAAATTATCCTATACTGTCCTGCTTTCTAACCATATCTACTATATAGCTATACGATTAAAATAAATATAGAAGTGTCTGCCCAACTATAGATATAAAAGATCTAACGAACCATACTTCTAAATATATTTCCTGTCAAATATTAAATCTACTCACAAGATGAGGGGAAGGGATTTAAAGGAAATGGAATTTTTAGATGGAGAAGGGTTACCTNCTGGGGAGGATCTAGATTTAGATTAGGAATTCATCCATCAAGCTATCAAGGGATTCAAGGGAAGGGCCTGAAGAAGTATCCCTCCATCCAGCTAGCAAGGGATTTAGGAAGGGGATAACTCATCCTTCCAGCTGTCTGGGGATTAAGGGGGGGGGGATTGTCTGGATAAGGAATTCATCTCTCCAGCTGTAAAAGGAATTAAAGGGGTGGGGTACCTGGATTAGGAATTCATCCCTCCAGCTGTCTAGGGATTTAAATGTGTTTGGAGCAGTGACATCATAGGTTAGAACACAGCAGTCGGCGCCCCTAGAGAAAAAAATTCTGATCACAATTTAATTCCTTCAATCATAGTTTTATAAGTTGGTCTTAAAATTAAAAAATATTGTAAGAAAAGCTGTAAATATTTCCATTTTCTCTGTACCTGTAAAATGCAACACCTAGAGATTGAAATCTTTCCTGTCCTGCAGTATCCCAGATCTGCATTGTAACCAGCCTATCATCAACCATCACCTAGACCACACCAATAGTTAGCACAATAGTTAGAAAAAAAGAAGAAAAAATAAGAATAGTCTTTTTTTGTTAAAAAATCAGTGAATCTCAAAGAAATGTTAATGATATGACATACTGACAGGGCGGATCCAGGATCCGGATCCGCATCAAAATGAATGGATTAGGACTGGTAAAAACAGATGAAGGAAACTGGATAAAAGCAGGTCCAACTTTAGAAAGAGGTTTTCCAAAATAGAAAAGTCTATGGGATGGATAAGAGGTTCTTGGGTTGTGTATAAGGGGTTCTTGAAATTGGCAGAGGTTTTTCAAGACGGAAAATCTTTATATATATAGATATAGATATATATAGATATATTTAGCTTGTCTGTTCATTTGTTTGTTTGGTTGTTCCTTTGTATCCAATAAACGTTAAAACGGTGGAACCGAACGGGGCCAAATTTTGTGTGGGAAAAAAAATCCGCCAAAATTTGAAAGTTGTGTAAATGGTCGACTTTCAGAACAACAGTTATTAGTTAAAATTATTTACAGGAAAGGGGGCACGAAGCGCTCTAAAAGCGTAGTAGGATTAAAAAGAGGCGGTACAGGCCAGGGTTTCAATGAAAGAATACTAAGAAAGAAATGTAAAGAGGTTTTTCGCCCATGGTTTGAGGTTAAGGGATTTTAGGAAAATTGAAGATTTAATAGAAGGAAATATTTTGGAGATGGAACAGAATTTATATGAATTAAAAGTTTATATGCTAAAAAAATGTCGAAGAAAGAGATGTGAATTCTGTTCAATGGTTGAAAAAAGTTCTTTGGTGGAAAAGAGTGTGATTTTAGAAGCTGAAAAAAGGAGATTGTAGAGGATTAAAGAATCACAAAAGGGAAAAATTTCTGGACACTACATTTATTAATTTTTGGATACTTGCTACATTTATTCATTTCTGGACACTACATTTATTCATTTCTGGATACTTGGTACATTTATTCATTTCTGGATACTTGCTACATTTATTCATTTCTGGACACTACATTTATTCAATTTGGATACTTGCTACATTTATTCATTTCTGGACACTACATTTATTCATATTTGGATACTTGCTACATTGTGCACTTTGGGCGAAAAAAAGAACATCTGAGCTTACTATATCTATGCTGAGTTTTATATTTTTAATATGAAATAAGAAACTTTATATTATTCGATTATGATTAAATTTGAGTTATCAATATGATTAATCACTTAATTGATATATGATACATGTTTTTGTAATAAAATATAATTTCACCTCTTTAGTAAGGAAATCTGCTCCTATTGTTGCTTTATACTGGTTTGAGAACTTCTTATTTACATATTGGTTCATTAGAGAGGTCTTACCCACACCACTGTCACCCAGGATTATAACCTGATAATTACATTGAGCAATCAATTCCAAATTTCAATTATAAGTTTATAATAAAAGTATAATTTTTTTTTAAATAGCCTTTTTATTGTAAAATCTAAGCGTTTTTTCTGCAGAAAATCCCACAAAATTATGTCATTGCACATTGGACGTTTTTAATGTACAGCACAATCAGGATTGTTAGGGTTACTCATAAATTTCGAATTATGAATGATTTAAGTTCGTTATAAACTCCATTCACCCTTTCCTCTACTCAGATGCTCTTCCATCCATTAATAATCCCTTAAACTTAGAAACTTCGGAACATTTCAATATTCGTTTTCATCCCTTTTCAATCTTTTCAACACGTTTATTCCATTTAAACAATTTCAAGTGCAGAACCTTTCATTATGTATAAAACAGAAGAGGTTATCGATGTAGTTTTAAATTAGCCTTAACTTTACTCAAATAATTACTAGTCCGACTCACACCAGTGTTCTCCCTTTTTCTAGGCAGACGTGTTCGGGTTATCTTGGTAAAATAAATAATTTTTAATCGTGGTTCCCTATTTTAGTGGCCTGCGGATTTAAGTGGCGGAAACAATGAAGGCAACTAAGAGAATTCATATTTTTCAAGACGGAAAGACAGTATAAAGGTCTACAGGATACTATTGGGAATCGGTAATGCAACGCTTTAAATTGAGATGAAGAAGTAAGAATGGCTCTGTTTTACATCTGATTTTAAATACGTGTTTTTTCTTATTTGTTAACATGAAAATGAACGATTGCACTTCAGCTATTAATATCTGTGTGCAGAGTGCAAAAATGCATTTTTAAGATTGGCAATACTTCACCTAAATTGAGAATATTTTCTCAATTCCCTAAATTTCTGAAGAATATAAAAATATCTACAAACTTTTTTTGTATGCTTACAAAACTACGATTTTAAGAATAAAAGTTTTTGAGTAATGCAATTTCAGAGTAAAAACGTCCAGGTATTTACTTTCATACCTTCAGCAGCACCTTCTTTCTTGACGCCATTTTCTTCTTGATTTTCTCTGTGTTTGTAAGAACAACTGTTTCTTTTTAAATCTGAAAAAAATTAAACAAAATGAATTCCGGCCGAGTTAAATGCATGAAGGAGCTTCATGAAATCGTCAATATCCATGGTACGGGCCCGTTTCTCCTTAAACCCTGAGCTCTGTAGCACCTCGTCAACGAGAGCTTTAATGTTGAAATCCTGAGGAACCTCCTCACCTTGCACCGACTTTTGCACCTGGGCACAACAAAATGAAAATCTTACTTTTTTAGAATGATTCACTAAAAACCATCTTCCCCTCGATAAATTTTTTTCCTAGAGTGCGAAGCAATAATAAATTTTTTACAGTTAATAAAGTATAACAATGCAAGTGTGTGTTCTATGCAATGTACTAAGTATCTCTGAACATTGCATTCAAACTTATGTTTGACATAGCACTTAGCCTCAGCGATAAAACCGACCACAGACATTTTTTAAGCGCATGAAATATAGGTATTTATTTTTGTCGTTTCCTTGTAGTTTTTCTCCATCAAGAGCAAGACACCAGTTGTGTTAAAGCCAGCGCTCAGTGTCTTGTTTTTCCGCACAAAACAGATTCGCGTCAATCCGTCCCATTCTTTAAAATTGATCGGTGGCGGCGGGTTTCGAGGCTCTATACGTACAACCGACGATTCAACTTTCGGCGGTGGACGGAAATTATTCTTCCCAACCTAAAACAAACAATTATAAAAATTTTATTGTAAAAAGTTTTAAAAAGCCGAAATTCTCCAAATATAAAAATTCTATTGTAAAAAGTTTTCTAAAAGCTGAAATTCTCAAAAATATAAAATTGTAAAAAGTTTTCTAAAAGCTGAAATTCTCCAAGCATAAAAATTCTATTGTAAAAAGCAGTGTTTCGGATCCATATCATTTTGATTCGGATCCGGATCCGGATCCGCGGATCCGCATCCGTGATGATGGATCCTGATACGGATCCGGATCCGAGGTAACTTTTGATTCTGTGAATCGGATTTTCCCTATTAAATGTTATGCAAGGTTATAATTTATAAACTATAGTAATCCTAAAGTTAAAAATGTCGTCATTACTATTATATAAATGTAAACATTAAATTATTAAAGATAATTTTGAAAAATTTTCGTCATGTAAATAATACATTTACGAACCATTTTGATTTATTTATTCCATGGTTTTGGTTAATTTTTGGCGCTACCCGGATCCATATCAACGTTTCCTGATACGGATCCGGATCCGACCAAATGATACGGATCCGACCGGATCCGGATCCGAACACTGGTAAAAAGTTTTAACATAAAAATTCAATTGTAAAAAGTTTTCTAAAAGCTGAAATTCTCAAAAATATAAAATTGTAAAAAATTTTCTAAAAGCTGAAATTCTCCAAATATAAATATTTTGTAAAAAGTTTTCTAAAACCTGAAATTCTCCAAGCATAAAAATTCTATTGTAAAAAGTTTTAACATAAAAATTCAATTGTAAAAAGTTTTCTAAAAGCTGAAATTCTCCAAATAAAAAAATTTAATTGTAAAAAGTTTTTTTAAAAGCTGAAATTCTCCAAATAGAAAAATTTAATTGTAAAAAGTTTTCTAAAAGCTGAAATTTTCCAAATAAAAAAATTTAAATGTTAAAGTTTTCTAAAAGCTGAAATTCTCCAAATAGAAAAATTTTATTGTAAAAAGTTTTCTAAAAGCTGAAATTCTCCAAATGAATTCTAAAACATGAATTTTTGATTTCATAAATATTTCTTAAAAAAACATTAAAAAGAATTTACCTTCATTAAATGATCTACTCGGGCAAGTAATTGGGTGTTTATAGATAATCTAAAATAAAAAAAATATTTTAGAGAAAGAAAAATTCTGATATGGAACATTATATATGCTAATACACAAATCATCATTAATTATCAATTCAAACACATTCAACCACGGTACATTCATATTGATAAACCAAACAATAAATTTAACTACAGTACATCAGTATTCAAAAAACAACAACAAATTAAACTGCAGTACATGAGTATTAATAATATAAACAATATATCCAACTACAGTACATCCTTACTAATAAAACAAACAATATGTTCTACCACAGTACATCATTTATAATAAAACAAACAATATGTTCAACTACAGTACATCATTACTAATAAACCAAACAATATATTTAACTACAGTACATCAGTATTTAAAAAACAACATATTCAACTTCAGTACATGAGTATTAATAATACAAACAATATATTAAACTACAGTAAAAAGTTTCTACCTGCAGTAAAGTTTATCACCAGGTTGAGCAACCAGTCTTTGTGCAAATTCTCTTTGGAACATTAACACTGCACATCTACATAAATATCAAATCATATAGAATTTCATTTAAGAACCAATTAATAGATATGATTCTCCTCCCTCCAGGGATATAAAGTATTTAATTATCTCACCTACCCCTCAGGAGAGGTGCGTGGGGAATGATTATTAAAGAAAATATATACTCCTGATCACTTTAACACAAAACAACCATTATTCTCATTTCATTTAGAATTCAATGATTGGAATTCATACAAAATATATAGATTAACATGTGAACAGAAAATGGAAATTTAAGAGAGAATTTCACTTGTGGTCAAAAATAGTAAATACTTTTTAGAATACCCCCCCCCCCACAACATCCATCAAAGGAAATAAGTTTAAAATCTTTGAGGATTTTCATTATGGAGAGAAAAAGAGTGTTTACTGTTTCATTACCTGAAGAAAGGTCTGTGAAGTAAAAGTTTAAAAACAAGAGGCGATGAGATCTGATATGGAACATTAGCGACACAAACGTCGAAAAAGGGAAGCTCTGTTTTAATGACGTCACCAACTAATATCTGTAGTTTGGACTGGTAGTGGGAACCCTGGACTCTTTTCTGTAACTCTGCAACCATTCTAGAATATTGTTTATATGGTCACGGGGATTCTGATTAAATAATAAATGATCAAATAATATGAATCTAAAAACAATAAAATTCTTTGATTAGTTCAATAGAATAAGTAATAATTGAACAGGGGCGTATACAGGATTTTGTCCAAAGGGGGGGGGGCTCTCTGGGAAACCACAGTTTCCACTTAACTAGAACGACTCAGCCACCACAGCCCCCTTATGTGACGCTCTCTACACTTTATGAGGAAATCAAGTTCTAAAAATTTGTAATTTATTGATTTGTTGTTAACTAACCTAGGATCTAATTCACAAGCAATAACTCTCTTTACTTTATCCAACATCTTGACCGTCATATTTCCAGTTCCAGGTCCTATCTCAAGTACTGTGTCAGTGTTCCGTAGTGCAGACTAAAATAATAAAGAACATATTAATTTCTATTAAACCTAGACAGGTAGTATTATAGTATAATAATAACTTCATAACCTTGGGACACAATTTGCGGGTTCGCTGAACTGCCTACAACCGCGCCGGTTCAAATTTTAATCACCGATCCTTCTGAATCTTTTAACATTGAATCAGTGGTTCAAATAAAAACCGGCGACAGGTAGTTCAGCGACGTAGATCAAATTTATTGAATTCGGTCCCTGCTTTAAATAAATTAACTACTTAGAAGCAAGAAAGAACTAGGGAAAAGTCAATATCAAATATATGTTCATTATTTTGCTTATTTATTTTTAATAAAGCAGGACAGAAATCGTGTACTCAAGTAATCATTGTTTACTCAATCAAAAGTTATAATGTTAATCATCAAACCCCAGTTATCATGTTAATCATCAAACCCCAGAGGCCATCTTCTTTGTTCTCCTAATCTTTGTACGTAATAGTTTATCAATGCGTCCAATTATGTCAAACATCGGCCAAAATGTTTTCTGTCACATTATGCACAACAATGGTCTTGTAAATAATGTTTATGTATTTATAACAAACATTGCTCTCAAACTAATTTCATTGGAAGAATTATACTTGCCAAAGAATGTAAGACACAGAATAATTAGGTTAAGACACTTTCTGGGCCGAGCGCTGCGGCTAGGGGCCGAGCGCTGCGGCTACGGGTTATGTTAAGTTAAGACACTTTCTGGGCCGAGCGCTGTGGCTAGGACAGGCTAGGGGGCCGAGCGCTGCGGCCACATGTCCACATTTAATTGAAAATTGTTGAAAAAGTCATGTAAAAATTTGAAAGGGGGGGCCGGGGTCCAAAAATCATTTTCTAGGAATATACCGAATAACTTCTTGATACATTTACAGCTCCATCTTTCAGTTCATGTGCGTGTCTCAGCTACTTTGTCTTCTAACTTATTCTAATAACCCCACAAGAAAAAAACATTTTAAAATTAAAAAAGGTTGTAAGTGAAGCTACAATTTGTTAAAAAAATCGAAACTTTACTCATAAAAATGTTGAGAGCATTCTAGCAGAAAACAAAGAAAATTACCTTATCAACCAATGCTTGCACTATCAACGGATTTTTTAGAATATGTTGTCCGAGGGCGTGGTTGAACTGCATAGCCTGCCCAGTTTTTCCTTCCCCGCCCCCTTCTCGGCCCTTCTTCTTCCCATCTTTAATTTTACCCATCTGAAATTGTAACTTATGACTGAAAAACAGGTTTTTATCAATAGATAAGAATCTAACGTAAATCTACGATTTTCACATTATCAATGAAAAAGTTTAACAGTAAAATATCAATTTTTTAACAATAAACTTGAATTCCAGAAAAGTTAATGATGTTAGAAATAAATCTGATTGTTTGGGGGAGTTAACTGAGAAACACACAAAGGTAAATAAATGGCGTTTTAGAATGTTTCAGCTGGGCTTTGTGACGTCATAAGATATCATAATTTTCCACCAATGAGCGACAAGATTGCAAAATTGAAACCAATCACTGCAAGGCAGGCAACAGGGATAGTTATACTCATCATTTCTTCCTTTAAATCTGAATTTAACTACGCATTTGGCAATTGTCCTTAAGAAGCAAAGGTGAAGATCAGCAAAAAATGCAACAGATATTTTCGTACTTTTGACAGTATTAGGCAATAAGCTACCTCCCTCTTTCTCAATTTCAGAAACAAAAAAATCTTGGAAAAAAATTTATTTAAAAAAATCACAGCCTGGTGGACGATTAAACATCTGTGAAGAATCATCGTTTTCGGTTCTTCTGAATCTTTCCTCCCTTGACTCCTCTCATTTTTCCAGGTTTAGCTGAGGGTGCTCCCCGCCCCCCTCCTCCTCCTCCTCTACCCTTATAGTTGGGTCCGACACCATCACTGTTAAACACCTTCGGTTTCCTCATCTTCTTATCTCTTCCCCCATCCCGGCTCTTACTCCTTCCTCCGTCCTTGCTTTTACTCCGTCCTCCATCTCTACTTTTACTCCTATCTCCTCCGTCCTTCCCTCGGCCGCGGAAACCCTCCTTGCCTCGACTATCCCTGTCTTGATTGAACCCTTCTCTAGGTTTACTCTTCTTGTTGGAGAACCTTTTCCCGGCGTTTATTTTCCCCGTTCCTTGGTTGCTGTTGGAGAATAGTTCCTTCTCTGGTTCTTCTCCAACCTCTTGTCTAGATAAAGAAAATTTATTAGAATCAATATTTCAATATACGAGGCGCTACCTCCAATAAGATGGCAATATAAAGAGTAATTCCCTTTCTACTGAAGTTATCATTTCTCTTCAGTCAAATCGAATTTAAAGGGACTGAAAGCGAATTTTCAAGTGACCCTCCTCCTCCATGCAAAGATGGCCATACCCAATTTACAACGGTGTCCTTAGCTTAAAAACTTTGTCGGATCATTTATAAATTAGATTTTCATGTTTTTTTCTTAAAATTGTTTATTTTCATTGGCGGGTTGTCTCTGAAAGTGACTTGTGCAAAGAGCAGGGGAAAGCAGGCGGGCATGAGCCACTCCTATTTCCACTTCCGTGCCACATATTAGCTTTTTTCTCTTCCGTCAGCCATGAGTCACCACTATTTCCCCTTCCGTACCACCACATTCGACTCTTCCGGGCAAAACTACTTTTTTAAATGGTATATTTAGGGCCTTTTAAGTGTGATTTTAAAAAATCCAGCCGCGTCACGCAAAAAACCACAACTCAAACCATTTTTTCAATTCTACTTAAGATTAATATTTTGTGTGTTGAATTCTTAAACTGTTTTACAATAAAATTTTTGACAAATTTGACTGAGTATTGCATCTTGAAATATCACATATTGTAAATCGGACATTGCCATCTTAGCATGGAGGGTCACATTTACGCTTACAGTCCTTTTATATCACATTTCAATGAAATTAAAAAAGGAAAATCTTGTAATAAAGAAATTAAACAGATGAAATGAAAATGTTACAGTTTCAGTAGTTTAGAGGAACAATAATTATATTTTATTACCTGTACCACTCTTCATCATCATCCTCATCTCCACTACCGTTCTAAACAAACAAACAAACATTATTATTATTATTATTATCATTATTATTATTATTATTATAATTATAGCAGACAACCCGTCATTCAATGAAATAGGGGTCGACGCTCCTTGCCACCGCAGTGTATCAATTAGACAGTATAACTATTCATTTCTTTTTAGCCTGTAGCCATTGTTAGTTCAAAATAATTGAAATCAATAACAGAAGTGTGTTCATGCAAAGACGGTAGAATAGTAGAAGATAGGGCATTATGAATTTGGCCAAAGTGTGTACGCTCTGTACACTTTGATATGACGTCATTGGCTGCAGTATTGTTTTTGAATTCAAACAATCAACACTAAAACTCTAGTTATCATTTAAATTAATGATTGTAGGTGCTAAAAATGGTGGAAAAATAACGACACGGTTATAAACTTCTAAATTTCTTTTAATCAGTTATAGGATAGGATGCTCTCCTGCTAAAATAAAGCTAAAATTGTGATTTTGTTACCCAGAAAAATACGACATATTTTAAAACAATATTTGTTAGATGTCATTAAGTATAGTTTTCAATAGTCCAAAGCAGAATTTAGGCCAGTAAAGTGAGCAAGGTCGGAAAAAACCTTAGTTTTAAGTAGCCAATTTTTTTAACCAATTACATTGAAATCTGTTTTAAGATAAAGTTTATCTAAAAAGATAATAAAGTTATGCATTTCTAACGGAAAATTACGTAAAAACGCAAGTTTTTGGTGATGGAAATGCTTTAAAAGTCCTAAAATCTTTTTAAATTATAGAAAAGACGACATTCTATGGCTTCTTATTGAACCCAATTGAGGCGTCTGGTTTTGCGTATAAATCCCAATGCCTTCTCTTTATATAACAAAGCTCTTTGTGTTTCTCGCGCCATTTTACGAATAAAATCATATTTTATAGGGATTGCTTAAGGTATCCTTTGTCAGAGCTAGAGTTTACAAAATTATCTTTATTTGTTGAGAGAACACTTCTTTAAGAAAGCGAATCAAAACTAACCTTGGCTCCAAGCAAAGTTATGATTCGCGTTTTTAGCATAAAAAAAATAAAACAGAAAAAACAAGAAAAATTTATAAGTGAGAAAAAAGTTTAACCTTCTCCGCGTTTTCTCCTTGCCAGGCCTTGACAGCTCTCTTCTCCTTCCCTGTTAGTTCCAGTTCATGAGTTCTCATCCCGTCCAGGGCCTTCTCTTTGTTCTTATTCTTCAGAGCATCCTTCTTTCGGACATTTGCTTCCTGTTCCTTCTTCCGCTTCTCCTTCTCATGCTTCCTCTGTTCACGCCGGAGCCTATTCATAGTTTAAGTAGAGTAAATTCACAGGGACATTTCTAACTAGCAAGTGGTAATATCTAAACTAGTAAGTGGTAATATCAAAACTAGTAAGTGGTAATATCAAAACTAGTAAGTGGTAATATCAAAACTAGTAAGTGGTAATATCTAAACTAGTAAGTGGTATTATCAAAACTAGTAAGTGGTAATATCAAAACTAGTAAGTGGTAATAATATAAAGTATGAAGTATAAATCCTTCGTTTTTATCTGTCAATTAAAGAACAAATCTGCCAATCACAGTCAATTTTTAAGAAATCAGCCAATTATCCCATCTTCCAGAAAAAGGGCTCAATTAGTTTCTCACATTTTAGTTAACTTTTACTGGAAAACTAAATCAAATAAAAATGTTCAGTTATAAATTGGCCAATTCGATTAACTATTAAAATTTAGCAATGCCATACTCGCAATGAAATAATTCTTCCTGAATTATATATATTCCTGTGTATTTGGAACCAAATATAGATTTGAATAATAATAATATATTCATAAAAGTTCTGCAATAAAAAATAAAATAAAGTAAAGATGATGATGTCCTACCTTATTTGTTTGACTTCTTCATCAGTTTTCTGAATATATTTATGGAACATGATTTCTCCATCCAGTAGACCATCCTCGATCTTGATCAATTCCATGCTATATCAATTATAAAATAAAAAATTACATATTTAAAAGATCAAACCACAAACTCATTCATCGATACAATTTACAGGATTTCCAGAGAAACCAATTAGGTGTAAATTTGGTCGAAGTTTGTGCGGGTTTTGTAGTTAACGATTTTTTTACTTGCGCAATACACTGTAAATGTGTGGTATGCGTGAAGCACTTTAAAAGGTTTCAGCTCTTTAAACACAAATTTGAGCAAAACAAATTTCGAATTTCGGCGAAACCCCTAAACCAAACTAATGCTATCGCAGTATTGGCATTACGAAAAATGCTCCGACGCAGAATTTTGAAAACTACTCCAGGTTATGGAATATAATAAGGTACCTTATCCTAGGTCCAAGTTCCACTAGTCTAACACTGCTCTGCTGAGCTGTTATTGCTCCACGGATTGACATCTCCTGGGGTAGAACAACCTTGCTCTGCTCGTCATCCTTATTCAAGTTTAATAATTTAATATAAACCAAAACATTTTCCATAGAAATATAACATGATTCATGAAAAATTAAAATCCCAATTTTAAAAACTATTTTCGACCTTCGCAGTATATAAACAATCTCAACGACCAGGCATGCGGCCGAACTCAAAGAAATTAAACCGAGTTGCTGGACCACCAATAACCGGTTTTAATTGAGCGCCGGCTCAAATCTCAAAACACTGTTCTTAAAATCATGTTTCCACACATTATTCCCGTTACAAAATTAAGATCTAGGTCATCAATAAATCTCACGAAGCTCTAAAATCCAGCGACAATTTCAATCAGACTATCGAGAATGTGACCTCAAACTTTCTGTTCTGTTACCTCGGCCTCGCTGTCAGATACACAGCCTCCGTTAGTTACAAGATCCGCCATATTCTCCAATCTTCCCAAGTTCGGGATCTAATTCAGAAGGATAATATAAATATCTTATTTTAAAAAATTATTGTAAAAAACGTTATTGCCGGTTTTTTATGTTATTAAAAGTTTGTTTATATAATTCAAGAGGACTTCAGATAATTATAAATAAAAAAGCAATAAAATATTTTAGAAAAAAAATTCAACGTTTTTATTTCCTACTTTGCTATTAACGATTTTCTTGACACCACGGTTAACTCCAACAGGAACAACCTAAATAAGAGATGCCGTATATTGTATATTGTATATCATACATATCAAGCGTAAACCAAGTTGGAAATATGAAACCAAATTTTTCTAAACAGATTTGAACTTTTAAAACTTTTTATGGCCAGTTTAACCTGTCTCTTCACGGTCAAAGTTCGGGAACTCGACAAACGAAAGGCATTCCTTACCCTGGACTTTAATTTATATATTTAATCATAAGTTTAAGTTCAGGATTTAAATCTTCGAGATGAAGCTCAGCAACATCGAACATAATTTTCAGACTATGGATGTAACTTTTAAATAGACTTGAGTTTGAAATTATTGGATAGATTTATGAGGTTAATCATTTGGTTCATTTATGAGGTTAATTATTGGATACATTTATGAGGTTAATTATTGGATACATTTATGAGGTTAATTATTGGATAGATTTATGAGGTTAATCATTTGGTTCGTAGTGTCTAGGCTTATATATAAATAAGTCAGTCTAATATGTAATTTTGAACTGAGCAAAACATTAGTTTAGCTCTATTTCCTACCTTAATTGTGTAGTGCCTGAAATCTATAAGCCCTGTGTCCTTGTTGTAGTTTATCAGAACACATCTTCTAATATTACTCAGACGAACCTAATATTTTAATTCAACATTTCCTTCAAGGTTAAGAGAATCAGAAACGTCCAATTTAAAAAAAAAAGTTGATCATTAATTGAATACTATATTCCTTGCATGTAAATATGTAAAAATGCGTTCTAGCAAAAAATTTTTATACCTAAAAATGATGTGATTAAAATCAGTTATGAACAAACAATACGTTAGAATGTTACACATTCAACATTAAATAAGAGCCAGAATATTGTAAAAAGCAAAATCAAAAAATACGTACTAAGTACAGAGGAGGTAATCTTAAAATCTTGATTGTACATAAAACGGACTAAATTAATCTAATGGAAATGTTTAAAGCGTTCCTTGGTGACATTAATTGTAGGGAACATATTCTGGAACATTGAAGTACAAAGCTGAAACTCTCGTTCCTCAGAGGGAAAATTATTCATTACTGAAAATAATAAAATCAATAAAACATTTCTCGAGCATAACATTACATCTTATTTAACTTTATAATTCCATTAAATATTAAACTTTAAGATTTCATCTGCTATAAGGTGAATCTATATATAAATTTGGCTTGTCTGTCTTGTTTGTTTGTTTGTTTGTATCCAATAAACGTCAAAACGGCTGAACCGATTGGGCCCGAATTTTTTGTGGGACATCACGTGACCACAGGGAAGGTTTATGAATGATAAAAATTTTAAAAAATGTGTTTTAAAGGTTTTTAATTTTGTAAAATATTTAAATTCTTGAAAATCCGCGAATTTTTTTTAAAATCTGCAAAAAAATTTTCTTCTTTGTTTTTAAATGTAAACAAAAAGAACATGTTCACAATTTAAATAGAAGTTAAGCCTAGTATATTTAAAAAAAGATAAAATACAAACCTAAGAGTGGGTGGTGAAGATATTGTTTCTCGTAGGTAATTTGACGCTTCAAAGATGATCTCACATCCCTTAATGACAATCATTTTAAAATAAAACTCGTGAATATATTTTCGTGATAAATGTTAATATTTAAGTTTGAATGTAATTAACACCGGTTATTTCCATTGTAAGGCTGCTTTGAAGCCAGAGTAAGATAAATAGTTTAGTTTGTCCTAGTTTCGCCAAGTTTACCAAGAAGACCTCAGAAGTTATAAAATTTGTTCTGAGAGGCAATTATAGAAAACAGGGGNATTTGGTAGTTACATGATGGGGGGAGGTACAAAAAAATCTTCCAATTTTTTCAAGGGGGGGGGGCCCTTCTTCGAAAATCATTTTACCTTAAAAATATTTATCCCTGAAAAATTGATCCCCGCCCCCCTCCTCAAGTTTCCATTCCCAAGAATTACGAACAAAAAGCGGACGAAAAAATAATAGATACAAAATTTGGAAAATATGTTGTCGCAAATTTTAAACTAAAAAGACGAAAAAGGGTAAAAAAAAATTTGCAAGCTGATGTAAAAATATCTACCCCCTCCCCTCACAATCATTCCACCTTCAAAATAATTTTAGAAAATGTATTCTTTGCCCCCTCCCCCCTAGGATCCCGAACAAAAAACAATGGCAAGTGATTATTATTATGGTTTACCTGCCGAGGGAGTATTCTTTTATCTTAAAAGTTAAAGTAGGGCCCCTGGGGAATCTTGCAATCTTGAGATAGGGACCCAGAGCAGTTTTTGTAAACATACACAGATGTGAAACCTAAAACGAGAAAGATGAAGAAAATAATAGATATTTTTGATCATTAGACAGCGACGTTTTTAACTGGGTGTAAAAAACTAGTTACTTTGTAAATAAAACCTTGATTTTTAACTAGTTTCTTTGTTAATAAAACCTTGATTTTAAACAATAATAAACGTTGGTGGAAGGGCGTGCAAAAGGTTAAGGCTATTCCATTATTTACACAAAAAAATAAATTTAAAAACTATATAATTGACGTACAATATAATTCTATAACCAATTATCCCCCTCCATAAAAAAAATACTTAAAGCAATCTCAAATATAAAATGAAGGAGAAAGAAAAATAAATGATTAAATGTCTGGATAAGATAGAGAAGGTGGACAGAATCCAAACTAGTTAATCTATATTGAGTCTACTCCTCCCATACTGTGTTTTATAATATAATTCCTTTCCTATACAGTATAGATCCTTCCTTATCCTTCTCTTTAGGATCCGAATCGTGGAACAATATTTTTTCAGAAAATTTGAACTTTTTTGACGAAAATCACCGGACCATGATTCCCGAAAGTTACTGCAATTTTTGAACGTTAGGATATTTAATTGTATTTTAGGTTAATCTAAAAATTCACCAATTTAAACAGATTTAACGATTTAAAATGGTGATTCTCAAAGTTCAAAGTTGAAATTGTTGATAGGAAAGCCTAGGATACTAAAATAACATTCCGGTGTCCATAGTTTTCGTGAACAAAATTTGCACTTTTTCATTTGAAGAAGACGATAAAATAGTTCACCTTGAGTAATCCCGCCACATGAACAAAATCTTTAACTACATTCTTCGGTCTAGCCTTGATATTAGACGCAGTAAACGGTTCCATCACCTCAACAAATCAAATCTTAATCATATTTCTTAAAAACAGGATTTTGTAGTTTTATTAAAAATATTGAAAAATGATTTATTTCCACCAAACTCTCTTCTGTAAATCTATATTTAAATTTGGCTTGTTTGTCTGTCTGTTTGTCTGTTTGTTTGTTTGTATCCAATAAACGTCAAAACGGCTGAACCGATCGGGCCCAAATTTTTTGTGGGACAAACTAGCAAGTGGTAATATCTAAACTAGTAAGTGGTAATATCAAAACTAGTAAGTGGTATTATCAAAACTAGTAAGTGGTAATATCAAAACTAGTAAGTGGTAATAATATAAAGTATGAAGTATAAATCCTTCGTTTTTTAAGGCTAGAAAGAAGGGCGCGAAGCGCCTTGAATTTCTAGTGACTAATATTAATACAATTTTCTTACAATAATAAAAAATAAGTTGGTTTTAGTTATGTTTTTAGAAACAAATGCTTATTTCTTACTTAAAAATATAAAACTAGTAAAGGTGTGTTTACCTTTCTAAAATCCTTGCATAGTTCCTGAACGAATTTCCCGGTTTTGCCTCTATGGACGACAAATGAGTGTGGTGCTTGGGAAATCTCATCATCCTCCTCCCGTAACGATACCTGCAGATATTGCACGTTAAACTTTAACATTAAAACGTTCACGTAGCACGTTGCCTGTATGGTAGGGTGTAACTATTTTACCTTAAACGCGTTCTGAAAACTAAACGAAACCTACACAGTATCGATAAAACGTAAATACTACAACGCTGAGCAGAATTCAGTTCGTCAGGTCGTCTCAAAACTAAACGAACTCTAAAGAGTATAATTATCTAACGCTAAGCGTTGATACTATTATCTATTGAGAATGCAAAATTTTCCGTAACATTCCATACGTTTTAAAGTTTTTCAAAACTCGTGAATATTTTACGTTTTACTTTAAAAAACTAAAATTTCTCATATATTACAACAAAAAAAGGATTTTCCTGAAAGAGTCATCATATTTCAGTTAAATGCCAAAAATACAGAAACAAAAGGGAGAATATAAAACTTCAATTGCATCCTTCTGTCAGAAAACTTAAACGTTAAAACGCTAGAGAACTTACAGATCAAGGAAAGTCGATAAAAGGACGGTTTCTAAATCCATCAACGAAATTCGAGTTACATTGAGAATTGGTCTCGATTTAAGTTTATTTGTTCTTTTACCTGTTTATTTTTACGGACACTCTTTCCCTTACGTTTCCCCATTTTATCTGAAGGTATAGTTAATGTAATGCATGATACTTTGATTAGGATGAGATCTTCTGTGAACCAGATTAAGAAAACAAAAAAGTAGGATAACTCATAACTTTGGAATCGGGAAAGTTGTTGTAAATCAAATCAACAGTTAATAAAGCTCTGAATTCTTATTGGCTTCATTATGAGCGGAAGAAGATGTTACGACAAACCATCGCAGAACATTACAAGGAAGTGATCAGCCCGTGATTGAACTCTGTCAGTTCCCTGAGGAGCGTTGTTCTAGCACCGTGATTGTAACCTCCGAAGACTACCGGAGCCTCGAGGAGGGGGAGTACGTGAATGATACTATTGTCGACTTCTATCTGACCTATCTACACAACCAGGTTCTTAACAAGGAGGATAGAGACAATGTTTATGTTTTCAGTTCACACTTCTACTCGAAGCTCTCGAGCTCCCCCCTGAGAAAGCACCTAAAGGAGTCTGAGAAGAACCTGTCCGCGTAGCAAAAGAGGTATTTGAGGGTAGAGCGCTGGACCAAGAATGTTGACCTGTTCACTAAGGATATGGTGATTTTCCCCATCTGTCAGGAGTCCCATTGGTTTTTGATCATAGCGGTCAAACCAGGACTCATCCAGAAGCCTGATGATCCCGAGGAGAGGTTGACCAGAGGTGACCCTTTCCTAATCCTGCTGGACAGCATGGGAGGATACAAGGAGAAAGCTGTATCTATTATAAGACAGTGTCTATCCTGCGAGTGGAAAGCAAAGCGTGGTGGGACGGAAACCTTCTCTGCTCGTGAGATAAAACTGATGAAGCCCAATAAACCGGAACAGGATAATTTTACTGACTGCGGGGTCTTCCTTCTACACTACGTAGAGAAGATTTTTTGTTCTGTTGTCCAGTTTGACTGGTCTAAGCTTCCGGACTTGACGAACTGGTTTCCCATGGAGGAAATTCTCAAGAAGAGATTTGAACTTGCAACCCATATTCAGAATCTTGCAAGATCGCAGAAGGGGGTGACGCAGTTTCCGGTTATAAAACTGAACAACGGAGACCCCTCCCGCCGGAGCAAACGTCGGAAGGGTTTTAGGGCGGAGCTAGACTACGGGACGGATTTGGAAGAGGCTTTGGATTTACCAGGTGCAGGAGAATTCTCAGTAGGGCACACCCCAGTTCGGGAATCTACTTCGGCAGAGTCCACACCAGTTCGGGAATCTACATCAGCAGAGTCCACACCAGTTCGGAAATCTACTTCGGCAGAGTCCACACCAGTTCGGGAATCTACTTCGGCAGAGTCCACACCAGTTCGGGAATCTACATCAGCAGAGCCACAGAGTTCAAACAAACTAGATGATGAACTTGCGCTCGTGGGTGATCTTGAAAACGATGAACTGGGTTAAAGGATTAAGCCGGACGAATCAGGCTCAGAATCAAACTAAACACCGTTAACACCTTTGTTCCAAAAGGGTTTAGGCACGACTACAAAAGGAGGGAGACCCTTGGTTCTATTACTGATGTGTTTGAAAATATGAGATTAAACTCAGACTCAACTCACAGTGAAGAAGAGAAAAATTGCTTCTGGCGCACAAACGGCCAAAACAACCGGTAAAAAGCTCAAGCTTTCTTCATTAGAAGAGGAGGAAGTTTTCTCTACTCCTCAGCGTTAAAATCATTCTGTGCTTCTTTCAGTCTTCCGCCAACATTATTTAACATTCGCCAACATTTTTCAACATCCGCCATGACATCTGCCAACATCAAGCCAGGGTAAAAAATAGAACACAAATGAGACTAATGGTGATTTGTAGACAGGAGTAGGATAGGATTATGAAAGAATCAGGCCCGAAAAGAGTTTATGGAGGACAGAGCAACATTTTGACATATTTATATATAAAGCACAAATTAAAATGACTCATTCCGTAAAAAAACAGTATGCGTATGATTCGAAATTTATAAAAATATAATTCTTCATTTAAATTCTGACTAGTTGAAGAAATAGACCGAGTTCTTGACAACATTAAGATCCAAGGATCCTTTCTTTGGTATATTCTTGAACAAGATTTCTCTCTTCTTTTTCTCCAATTCTACGGAGGATATTGTTCCTGGAAACTTCTGCTTAAACCTGAGCTCTGCCGCCGCCTCCTCCAGGGTAAAGGGTGTGCTCAGGTAGTTGGTCACGAAGGATCTCGACAGATCCTCCAAGATGGGTTGGGAGTGCAGAGCAACAAACTGCTCCCGACAAGTTCGGTTCATCAGTTCAACATCACAGGCGTGAGTCCAGAAGCAATCATGAACTATAAAACACAGTGGTAAAACACTTTTAGAGGGTATGAATGCTCATATTTAGTTAAAAAGATTGTGATGATCTTCACAGGAACCAAGTTTTTGCCACAAACTCTGATTTTAGAATCCCTATATCATTACAACCCGATGTCGAAGACCTTTGAAATTTTAACCATCAATTAGGTTAAGTCAAATAGTGACGAGATTAAACTATAAAAGGTTTACCCCGTCGTCCGTCAGGTATCACATAAATAGAGACTAGACAATTTGAGTTTTGTGGCAAGAACGCAGTTCCTTTCTATATTTTTCAAAATAAAACTTTTAAGAGGATAAATAAAAAATATTCTTTCATAAAAATGTAAACACTAAACCGTGAGTCTCGGAAAGAAGAGTATTTTTGGAGGTTTTTAAATATCAATTAAAATTAAGTTTAAAGAGATCAAAGGATACCATCAAAGGACGAGATACTGAGAGATAACTAAGCATAACTGTTAATAAAATAAATACCTGAGGCAAATGTGATTCCATTTGCCCAGAGGAAGAGAGACGTGAGCATCATATGTGTTGAGTCCAAGGAATGGATGAAGTTCGGAGGAAACCCGTTCCTTAATATATATAAAGATATAGAACATTAAAACTAGGACGAAATAGAGAAGGAGAATGTAAGTTGGAACGGAGAAAAGTGGGGTAGAACGAAAACGAAATGGAGAATTGACTTGGTCCAGAGAAGAAATAAAGGGATGGGTGGGAGAAAAGATTAAGAAGTGAGTTGGGTCGAAGATAAGAGAAAGAAATGTGATCTAGGACTGAGAAATGTATTTTGGGAAGAAGAATGGACAGGTTGTGCTTGAACGGGGAAACAATAAGTTGAGGCGGAGAAGAATTGAACACTTGTGGAATTGAAAGAAGAGATCAAGGAATTAATGATAGAAGATTTCACTAAAAAAAGAAGTAGAGACAGTGCAATGAAGACACAGTGGTTCTAGAAGCCGATTTCAAGGACAGTTTACAATTTCATGTCATACTATAACTTTTTTTTTTTTTAAGTTTCATCAGCAAATTTGCAAAAATTAAATTTATATCATAAAGTTTGCATTTTCGAAAGAATAATAATTTAAATCATAATTTTTTGGGTAATATTTTTATCATTAAAATCCTACTATTTCTCGCAATTTCGTAAATATTTTTCAATTTCTAATCTTCTTAAGAGCCCAACTTTTTAAAAAAAATCATTTCTTTTTCCGAATTTGTTTTTACTTAAATAGAGCTATATATATATATATATACTTCACCAGTACAGGAAAAATGCATTTTTTTCCTATGACAATTCTTAGAAAAATGAAATTTCCAATTTCGTTGAACTTTGAACCCTCAGAACTTTTTTATCTGACAAACTATCTTTGACTGGTTTTTTCCCCTGAATCGGCTTTGTAATAAAGACGTCATATTAAAAAATTTAGCCAAAATCAGGACAACTTATTTTTTCAATTTGTCCGGCCGCGGAACCACTGTGTGAGGGGGGGGGGACAGAGAAACAGCTAAAACAGAAATAAATGGGAGTAGATAAAGGGGTGTGGATACTGTGTGAGGGGGGGGGGTAGGACAGAGAAAGAGCTAAAACAGAAATAAATGGGAGTAGATAAAGGGGTGTGGATACTGTGTGAGGGGGGGGGGTAGGACAGAGAAAGAGCTAAAACAGAAATAAATGGGAGGAGATGAAGGGGTGCGGATGAAAGCCGCAAAACTGTGAAACTAATTCACAACAGTATCCTTAAAATCTTTGATTTATCTGTCTATTCTTTCATTTTGGAAAACTGTTTTTGTTTTTATTTGTAGGTTATTTGAAAAAGTGAATCGCGCATTTTTATTCAGAAACCTAGAAGAAATACACAATTTTCAGGCCAGGGAAAGGACGTTATCTTTCACGTTATTGATCAGATTATGGATTCAAGGGTGCCATCATGAATCAGATATGCATCTTTTTAAAATAGAGGTTCACTAAACCTTACGAACACATTCTTTTTCAGCTGAGTCAAGAATTTTAATCATTTAATTTACAAACCTGTGTTTCATTGTCATCACTTTCAGTCTTTCCTTCTTTACAGTGTTCATACTAAACACAATTAAAATCATGACTTAAATTAATATTTTAGCGCGTTTTTAATAAGTTCTTCATTGCTGCTGGATATTTTATATAAGAAATTGTTCGAGAATTTATCGATCATTATGTTTTAATCAAACAACATCGCAATATTGCAGATAACTCAATTATTTTTTCCATTTATTTTTTCATTTAAATGTAATAATCGAATTCTTAAAAAAATACGTTAGCATATTTTGAATGTTTATCATTAATCATAAAGTGAAAATTAAAACTTAATTAACATTTGATGGTTTATGACTTGGGGAAATAAATGAGAAAAAGCTATTGTTGTACTTACATGAGTTTCTGGTTGAGGAACGGTGTACTCCGAGGGTTCGGACACTTGGTGTAGGGTTGGACTACAGGGAACCCTAGTGGAGTAATCCATTCAACATTCAGGTTACATTCACCAGAAATCACCTAGGATAATTAAAACAATTAACTTATTGATTGATTAATTTACTTTTTTTAAATCTTCTTTAAATCGTAAAATCATTCTGGAAATTGAATCATAGCACATTTTTATTGAAACCTTTTGACCGTTCAACCGTTTAACTATTCAATCAAATTAACCGATTAACCGCTTTAACAGTTTAATCACTTTAACCGATCAACCTTTAAAATCCTTAAGTCACATTAACCGATCAAACGCTTTAAAAGTTCAATCAATCATTTTAATCGTTCAAGACACTTAATCCCATTCAATCACATTTTACGATGTACCGTTAACATGTTTACAAATTATACCGATTCAAATGTTCCAATTGTTTTTTAAGAACCGGATAAACTGTTGAACTGTTTATAGACTATCTCTTAATGATCTGACCAATGAGTCATTGTTTTATCATCCATTGACAAGTTTTTAGCTTTGCTCAATCGTTAAAAGCTTGACAATAAAATCGTAATAAACAACTTAAGATCAACAGTATAAAAACAATTAGAATTTAAAAAGACAATCACCCATATATGAACAATGAGAGATCCGAAAGCCCGAGGATCTTAAGAACCCAAATCTTGTCTCGTATCTTGAACCATCATACAATATCATAGATGTGAGCAGTCTCTTCGATGCATAATGAGACACTATTGAGAACGACTGTTAAGGATGCAATAAATGTTTGGCATAATTACACCCTTACATACATTTATACGTTATAAATAAATTGCTGATCTACACCAAGATAAATACCTTGGCGCATTCCGTCAGCCAGTCCTGTATCTCCTGGCTCGCTGTGAACAGTTCGTTTAAACTCTCGAAGGTTTTATTGCTCAGGTATTTGCTCCCAGCATCAACACTATCCTCAGGGTACTCACTACAAATGGAAAAGATTTTATCAAAAATGGCAAGGTTGATTTTTAAAATTTCCCATTATTTATTGATTTTGGTTTGCAGCAAAGACGACGTATTTAAAAACTAAGGTGGTCAAAAAGAACCGATTATAATTTGACATCAATAAGAAAGGAAAATAAAAACCCGTTTAAAGAAAACACATTCTTTGTCCGTACACCTGATATCCTTCAGCTGTCTTGCTATTTGTTTACTTGCTCCGTAGGGTGTTACACCGTACACAGTCGTCATCACAGTCTGTTTCACGACCTTACGTTTAACAAATCCATCCAACAACTGAAAATAATAATTTTATTTAAATGATACATCTCAAACATAAATAGGACGCAGAACTTGCTTCCTAATGGTTGCGGCCAGTGGGGTTGATGGGTCATTTCGGAATAAATAAAATACCAGATAGTTCTCCGGAAATCCTGTATTTAGATATTTCTTTTTCGGATATTTTTTTCCAGAATTTTTCCGGTCGCCAGTATAACCCTTAGAGTCAGTTTTGAGTAATTTCGTCTTTTATACCAAAAGATGTTAAATGATGCCGAGGTTTACCTGAGCAATCTCCACCCCCTGCTCTGCATCCTCTCTTCTCTTTCTCTCCACTATAGTTGCAATCTCGGAGTAAACGTCCTGGGGTTTCTCCGCCGGAACCAAGTTTACTGCTGCAGCTCCTAGTAGATCCCGACCAATCGCAGCGTAGTGCTGTAAACCATTACATGAACCATCCTTAATTATTCATTGTCAAAAGAAAAAAAAGATATTTAATCTCTTCAAACATCATTAAAAGAGGAGAAGACTGTGTTCGTACGTCTTTTGTAAGGTTATTCATTATTTTGATAAGAGGAAAATCAATTAAAAAAAAAAAAAATTAATTGTTAAGTAAACAGTATCAATTGATTGAAAATTATAAACGTTATTCTTGGGCCTCTCCAGTATCCACCTACCTGATGAATAGGAAGATGGCAAACATAGTTCTCCACCCCCTCGGGATGATTTAGAGCGTTCCTAATCTCAACACAAGTTGCGAAGGTTTGGAACGGTTCGTCGGAGTCCAGGAACCATCGTTTCCCGGTGATAGGATTGTTTGCGGAGTCGAGGATTAAATCCAAAATTTCCTCCGCAAACTTTAATCTCTCTTCTACACTCTCGCGTTTCTTTAATCCGGTCAGATTTATGCAGTGCAGCTTCAACCAGTTCAACCCATTGCTCCCGAGGGATTTTCCGCGCGCAAATACAAGTAATGAGCGCGCTAAATCGGATCCCATGTGATTAAAGTAGGGAGGGATTGGGTAGACACGCCCCCTGAAATCCATGTTGTGGGGAAACCACAGAACATCGTTCTAGACAAGGCTATTTAGAAATATAGAAATGAACAAATTACTCAAAAAAAACAAGTCAGAAACAGGAGGTATCATGCGCTTTTTTGTGTTTTCACTAATACGGTTTACAGAAAATTATCATGCGAAAATTTAAAACATACATAATCATCACTTTTAATCTTTAAAGAAAATGAAGGCTAATTGAAACTTAAAATATTTTTTCTACTTCTCAATTTCTGAATATTCCTTGAAATGGTTTGCAATGGAAAGACGGTATACACAATCACACCACAGTGAATAGCTTTCCCTCTGAACATTCTACTTTCAAAATCAATCAATCAATAAGAAAGAAATGAAAATTAAAAGACGTTAAAGGAGAAATGAAAGATTAGATCTAAGCTGAAAACTTTTGAAGAAGATTGAATAAATTTAATCTAATCTCTGCTCGCGGCCTTTAAACCTATCTCTCATTGATTCAAGCTACATCGGTTTTTGGATGTTGACCACTGAGAGATCGATGAACCTTCTATGCAGTGATAATGAATTAAACTGACTCCCAACCACTTAAAAGTTTAAAACTTTAATTCAAGAATTAAAAATTCAATTATTTAGGTCACAACAAAATTTATTAAGATATTGATAAAGAAGTGGTCAACCCCTTAATTCCCTCATTTAATTCCAAGTGAGATTTTTAAGGTTTAATATTAGTTTAGTATTATAAGTGGAAAGAACTCAACTATCAAATTAAGATTTCTACCGNGAATAATTTTATAGGTTTCAATTAAATCATAGCGGAGTCTTCGATTTTCAAGGGATTGTAAATTGAGTTCTATTAGTTTTTCACTGTACGATGAGCCAGTGAGTCCTGAAACCATTGAAACCGCCCTTTTTTGCACTTTTTCAATAGTTTCTTTATCTCCTACACTCCAAGGACACCAAGCTGGGACGGAGAACTCTAGGTGAGGTCTCACATAAAGCTTATAGAGATTGATGAATGTAACTTTGTCTCTATAATGAAATGCTTTAGAAATAAGTGACAATATACCATTTGCTTTTTGAGCTGATTGGTTGCAGTGCACTGAAGGTTTCAAGTTTGCATGCATAGTAACTCCGATATCTTTTTCCTCGTCGATCTCTGACAGGGTTTGATTGTTCATGGTGTATGTATAGCAGGGGTTTCTATTTCCAATGTGCATAACTTTACATTTATCAACATTGAACATCATACCCCAAGTTTCAGCCCAGTCACAAAGTTGATTAAGACAGTTTTGTAATATATTTTTGTCACTTTCGTTTAACATTTTTTGGGCAAGTTTTGTATCATCAGCAAATTTTTTTAACACGGAAATATGTGCACAAAGAAAGTCAATGTCATTAATATAGATGATAAAAAGGATCGGACCAAGCACCGATCCCTGGGGAACACCACTTAAGACAGGTTTCCATTCTGAATATTGGCCATTCAAAACTACTCTTTGCCCCCTGTTTGAAAGCCAAGCTTCGATCCATCTCAAAATATCTATATAAATTAAATTAAATAATTTATAAAGATCTTTATTCTGCAAAAACAATTTTTAAATTTTGGCGCTGCGTGCAACCATACCTTTCTGCTTCAGGGCGATAATTTTCAAACTACCCTGTAACTACCTGAAGTTCGTTGTTTACTTCTGGTCCAGGTATTAGGATGAAGAGGAAGGTTTAATATATACACCCCTGTACCTGAAGTTCGTTGCTTACTTCTGGTCCAGGTATATTACTAGGATGAAGAGGAAGGTTTAAAATATATAACTCTGTACCTGAAGTTCGTTGTTTACTTCTGGTCCAGGTATATTACTAGGATGAAGAGGAAGGTTTAAAATATACACCACTGTACCTGAAGTTCGTTGTTTACTTCTGGTCCAGGTATATTACTAGGATGAAGAGGAAGGTTTACTGTACCTGAAGTTCGTTGTTTACTTCTGGTCCAGGTATATTACTAGGATGAAGAGGAAGGTTTAAAATGCTGAGAAGGCTATTATCCTTTTGAGCAACAAACACGGAGATTGCAAGATCAAGAACTGTCTAAAAAAAACAAATTAACAATTATTTTAGAAATAATAAATTATTTTTTATCTTCAGTGCAATAAATATTGAAAGAAGTTTTAAATTTTAAGCTTTGTTTTGAAACTAATCTGTAAGTACTGTCTTGGCATTGGACAATAAACCATTGCACATTGGACTTACATAATCATCAAATGTTTGCAGAATATGTTTGCAGTGTAAGTTTGCAGTATATGTTTGCAGACTATGTTTGCAGACTATGTTTGCAGAATATTTTTACATAATATGTTTGCAGAATAATGTTTGATAGGAAAGATTGACAAAACAATTACTGTCAGCAAGAAATTCTCACGATCTAGTACGAAATCAAAAATGTTACATTCTCGTATATTAAACCTTATATTACCTTGTTAACCTTCCAAGGTACAGAGCTGAGCTGGTTCAAAGAATCCAGCACAGGACTGAGCATACCCGGAGCTAGGTCTTGGAGTTTCTTATTCTGATCGGATACCAACTTTTCACTGATCTACAACAAAACCTTCCGTACTTCAATCAAACAGGAGATATTTTGGAAGTTTTTGTGTTTCAAATAACGGTTCTAAGAATTTACTAGTAACTTTTAGGATAGCTATTCACAAAGGGGTATGTAATATGTAATTTTTAAGAACTCCCCGCACTTCCAGAAAAAAAAATTTTTTTGGGGGGAGATAATGAAAAATTCCTCTTTTGATACTTTTCACCGAAAAAATTATTTATTTTCCCCGGTAAGCAAGAAAAAAAACTAACTAATATTTTGTGCTAGGCAAATCTTTAAAGATGGGAAGCGATATTCCAAGAAAATATACATCCCTGAATTTACTACAATTCACTGTGGGGAAGGGAAATTATTTTTTTTATTAATCATAAACCTATAATTTAGTAGTAATTATGAACGAATGGAAGACAAACTTGAACAGATAATCTTAACGTCTAACCTACCCTAACTAGACCCGGAGACGTGTACAGGAATGATCCTGTCTCTGTAGATATCCAGGGTAGAGGAGGACAAACCATCGGTAATTCCATCGGAGAAAACTCTAGATCTGCCATCTTCAGGTTGGAATAGAGTTTGGACAAAGACGGATGAGGTTTTGTCTCCTCAATTTGTTTCTCTTCCTTACGTGAGCGGAAGAGTTTAAAAAATGCAGGATTAGAGTGAAGAGGACGGGTTGGCGGTTTTAGTTGATTTCCGACAAGGATCTTGTTCTTTACAACAATCTCTCCTTTCTTATCCCTTGTAATACATAGCTCCTTGATGAAGATATCCCTGAGCTCCCGGCCCACCATGAACCTCACGTCCTCCGGCCAGGTCTCATGCTCCTCATTTAGGTTAAAGTCGGCGCACGCGCTCTGTAACGCTGCTCTGTGAGTTAACTCTCCACCCTGAGGGTTAGTGTACCAGTCCAAGTATCTAGAGTACACCTTGGGAAACTCTGTCTTAAAGTATTGGTTGTTTTGGACTCGGTTCTGGAACAGGAACGCATTCATCACATCATTCCCTAGGACAATTGTTTTTAATCTCCGGCAGTTAAATTATGCAATAATTTTAAAAAGAACGTTTACTCCTTGTAACACTTAATGGCTAATTGCACCAAAAAGTTTCTCCAAAAAATTACAGATCAGAAAATCTTGCTCAAAATGCTTCAAAAGGCCAGTTATTTAAAGATACTTAAGGGGTGCAGTGTTTACTGGTCAATCCCCAGGAAGGAAAAAAAGATACCCCCCCCCCCCCGAAAAAAAATTCCTAAAAACATAGGTAATACCTAGTTTTGATGAGAAATGAGAAGCTGAGATACTGTAGGTTTCACAGTTGAAGATCATGTGACGAGCAGAAGCGAGCAATATATCGACTAGGACAGGGATGGGTACACTAAACAGGAACATGTATTTGTTGATAGAGTTCTTCATCTCCTTTCCCGCCATCTAAAAACCAACCATAATATTTTTTTCTCTTGAAGTAAATCATATTTATGGATTTTCAAGAACTTTCAAGGAATAAATTAATTTTTAAAAGCTTTGGAAGTTGAATTGAAAACATTTCAACCTATTTTTATTTTTATTTTTGTTTTGCTAAAAAACAAAGTCTGTTTTCCCCCAAGTGATCTATTTACCCAAGAAGAAAAAGATCGGCGATAAAAAATTAAATCTTTTCCGCAATAATTTTTTAAGCATTGAGGAAAAAATTATTATTTGAGATTTAACAACTATCTGTTAAAAATTTCACGTTACAACTTCTTATGAAAATAAATCTGTAAATGGTGAATGAAGTGATCTTTATGGGCTTTCCTTAATTTTTGCTTTCCTCCTCATACTTAGAGTTTGAGTAAGCCGTTGTCTCCACTCCTCCTCTAGATCAGAGATAAAACTTCTCTCAACCTTGGAAACCTAAACCAAAACAATAATTTCATAAGAATGTACAAAAAAATGTAGGTTATTTAAACAAAAAAACTGTCTCAGCTGCACTGAGTTTATTTAAATTATGTGTGGGAGGAAAGTAAATACTATGCAGTACACAGAAATCTTTGGGAGCTTTCTTTATGTGTTTAATAGTCGAATATTTGAAAAATTAGTTTGCGATATTTAGGGTCTAGGAATAGGGGGTGTTAAAAATTAAACCCTACCTTAAACTGGTCTCGAACTACGGAAGGAATAAGAAGAGTTCGCTTCTCCTCCGTCTCCATCTGTCTTGTTAATAGTTTACCCAGATCTTCTCTTTTTAATATGTTCTTGATCTGAGACTCCAGAAAGTCTGATGCTGTTGGTAGTGTATCAAGGAGTGGGTTAGAGTAGGGAGCATCATGAAACGGAGCAGGTTCCATCCCGGAGAGTGACCTTAGCGTATCCAGAAACATTCTTCGGTCATCGAACTGAAACCGTCCTAATCTTAGAGCGGAGTCGACAGTGTAACCTTTTTCTTCAAATTCAGAGTAAACTTGACGGAATACAGTCTTGAATACGTTCCTTGACATGTCGGAGCTACTCATGGCGATCATTGAAGATATATAACTGTTGATATCAGGCTCAATATTTCTCTTTATCAAATCCTTCCAGAGAACCTGAACCTTGGAGAAATCATATTTACGGGCGAATCCACGGATAAGCATATTGTAAATCTCGAGGTTGTCTACTGCTTCTCTACTGGTTGGCTGACTTCTTAACTGTCTAAACTGCTCTAATGCTTCGTCTACTCTACCACGGGATATATAAAGATCTAAGTAAGCTCTGATTAGCGGAAGATGTAAAAATTCTTGACGCTGCTTAATCTTTGAAGGTTGCACCTTTGTCGGACTTACTCTGGATTCTAATGGTTTTTGATCTGTGTGTATATCACTAAAACTAGTCACTGAATGTATTTTAAATGTAGAATCTACCTGATTAATTGCAAAATCACTTGAGGAAATTAAATCCGGGGGTTCTTTTACTTTATTCTCTGTACATGATTCACTTTTAATCGGTTTCGTTTTGCACCTCTTAGAGTGTGTTTTAAGGCCTCTGCTCTTCATAAACTCTTTATTGCAATTAGGACATTTATGTATGGTTGGAGAGGAAATGTTCTCAGATGAATTAGTGGATTTGTTTTCTGGATCATCTTGAGGATTTTTCAGAAGTTGCTCGACGGTGATTTTCTTGGTTGGTTTCAGGTTTAATATATGTGCTGGGTTTGCAATCACAGCCGTTTCTGTCCCCAAATTTCCTTTAAAATACAGATCTCCTTAAATATTCTTTAGACTTTTTATACCTGAATACGGTAAAATTAAAAAATTTCCTAACCTGCAAGAATATTAAGTTCTCTTGCTCTAAGAGCAATTATTTTTCCTTTAAGGTCCCTGAATGTTGCATTGTTCTCTGCAGATATTATGGTCTTGGGTGGCTTCCGTCTTTTTGTACCTTTAAATATAAACACATTATTTTTGTTTATAACAGACGTTAAACGCAAAAATAAACAAAGTGTGTATATTTTCCCATACTTTTAAGATAAAGCGGAAAAACAAGCAATAAATAAACATAAATGGATTACAGATAAAAAATACCTTTCTGAATGGGCTTCTTCGATAGGTTTTGTGTCTGTGTTGTCATGGAACGAGAGAGATGACAAGCTGGAACGGAGACTGGGAAGGAGTAAACTTTAACTGAGCTGCAGGCTGGAACGGAGCCGACTATACTCCGACCCAGGAGCCTACCCGCCTGCAGCATTCTCTCTGGAAATATATAAAGTTCGGAGAATACTTTTAACTGAATGAATCACGGGCAAATGTCTCCAGTTATCTGAACTAGGAAGTTTACAAAAAAAAAGATCCTAAATCATAAAGATATTAGAAAATATTGTTTAATCCTAAATCTTGGTTTGACTAAATCCTACATGAGGAGAGTAAAGGATCCTATGTTCCCGCGGCTCCTGCTACTCTTTGCTGGAAGTCTTGATCCTTCATAGACAACTCTGTAAGTTTCTTTCCAATCCGTTCATGAACCTCCAAGTATTTAGCAACACACCTGATATATTATTCAAATTTATCAAAACCATTTTAAAAAGATATATAGATATTTTAAAAATATATAAATTAAAGGTCGGCAAAACAGTTTAATTTAGCCGGGTCCTCTCTAACCACTGCTGGTTGCTTTGAATGAGAGGCCCTTTTCAGTCATAACTATCAATTTAAAAAAATAAATTGGAACAAAATATAATTTAGAAATAAAGGGAAGCAAATAAGAGCTGGAAAAGGAAAATATTTTGACCGAGTAGATAAGAGGAAAAATGTATTGAAGAATGGAGAGGAAAAAAGAAGAAAGCAACCACAAAATGTTTTGAAGAACGGAGAGGAAAAAAGAAGAAAGTAACCACAAAATGTTTTGAAGAACGGAGAGGAAAGAAGAAGAAAGTAACCACAAAATGTTTTGAAGAATGGAGAGGAAAAAAGAAGAAAGTAACCACAAAATGTTTTGAAGAACGGAGAGGAAAAAAGAAGAAAGTAACCACAAAATGTTTTGAAGAACGGAGAGGAAAGAAGAAGAAAGTAACCACAAAATGTTTTGAAGAATGGAGAGGAAAAAAGAAGAAAGTAACCACAGAATGTTTTGAAGAATGGAGAGGAAAAAAGAAGAAAGTAACCACAAAATGTTTTGAAGAACGGAGAGGAAAAATGAAAGTAACCACAAAATGTTTGGAGAGGAAAAAAGAAGAAAGTAACCACAAAATGTTTTGAAGAATGGAGAGGAAAAAAGGAGAAAGTAACCACTAAAAGAGATGAAAATTTATAAAGTTACGTTCAAGGTAAACCCCAGCTGTAAAATATGTTAAGTAGATTAAGGAAAGTGTTTACGAGAAATATATAGCCCATCATCTTACATTATAATCCGATCGATTGATTAGTAGCAATTTTTATGTAGCTAGCCTAAATCGGTTGATTTTAAAATTAGCATTTTAGTATCCTACTCTAATAAATTATTAGTCATTTTTTCTGTTAAATATGAATTTTCAAAAATCGAATTTTCAATTTTAACCAGCCATAAGCCTTTCCTCGGGTAACTGGGTCATATGAGTCGTCACAAAAAAATTGAGCTAGATCAGTTCATCCAATATATTATAGATTAAAGATTGATAGATATACATAAAGCTGTGTAGAAGAAAACAGCACAAGAGTCATGTTTAAAGGGCCCTAATTCATTGTCGACGGCTGTGTGAAGACTTGAACAAGACCATACTTTTATTAAGATGGGTTTTATACTGTTTGGCAACGATTACCTATCTATACAGACACTCTCTCCCTTCTGCAGATCCGCCTCCCTATACTTAGGTGGAATACATTTCTTATGGCAGGCGCTGGTCAACCTGGAATAATGGGATTAATGAATGTCATACAATGAAGTAGAAAATCATTTATGAAAACATTTTTATCAGTTCGTGTAAGAACATTTTTATCAGTTCGTGTAAGAACATTTTTATCAGTACGTGTAAGGAGAAAAGAATATTTAAGTTTTTAAACGCGGCTTTTATAAACCAACAAAATGTGCTATTTTACGCAAAATTTTTATTAGAAAATGATTGCCCACCCAGTCCCAACTATTTCTGGGGGTGAAATCATAGAAAGAATTTACTGTATAGTGTATACTCATGTGACACAAGGAGTAGGATAGAAAAACCACCAGACACAGAGAGCCTAGAACGACATTGGAAATAGCACCCTGAGCTCCATCCACCCCCCCCCCTCTCTCTACTGGCGCTACTACACTCTATAGAAAGATGCTGAATGTACACGAGTAAATCTGCCTACTGTACATATATCAACCTTATGTACATTTCTATATTTTGTTCATATAAAACTACCTGCTGTACATGTCCATCTACTGTCCATAAAACTACCTGCTGTACATATCTGTCAACTGTACATAAAAACTACCTGCTGCTCATATCCACCTTCTGTGCATAAAACTACCTGCTGTACATATCTGTCATCATCTCTATCTCGAGCTCCTGAACCAACCGCATTTTAGACTCGTCTAACTGAGGCATCGCCATCTTGGTTCTTTCAATTTACGTTTTCCTAAAAAATATTTTTACTTTAAACATCAAACTAAAACAGGGCAAACCTCACATTTAAAAAGCAACCCTAAGGAAGAATGGATAATGGATAGGAGATACAAGTCTGTTAGGAAGAATACTAAACACAGGAGGCATGAAATCAACCACTGTGATCTTGCCAGGCGTAATTTGTTGCATAAAACGTGCATGGTTGTCCCTACACTGGGTAGCCTGACTGGACAGTACGACTGAATCATGCAACTTTTAGCCTGGGGTGCAACTACAGTATTAATTAATTCTAAATAATCGAAAACCCCAATTCTTCAAATTGTGTTGTAGGTTCCAAGGTTCAGGAAAGGATCATGGATTATAAAGTTGCTCAAAGATAAAATCATTTTCTAACCTGGATAATTTGTCGATCTAAATAGTTCTAAATATTTCTTAACTTCTGGAAACCTTGATTGCGTCAACAATATCCTGCAGAAACAAACAAAAATATCATAATTTTTGAAAAATAAGATAAAACTTCTTCATAATTATTAGTCATTTATCGTCAATGCTTTTCGAGTTTATTTTTGCTTTCCTGCTGTTTTTTCATATTCTGCTGTCTCTGAGAAATAACTTTAGATTTAGCGACTGCAAAAGATCCAATTCCTAATAAAATACAGGTTTAAATCTAGCTTTGATAGAAAAAAAAATTCCCTTGGGGTGAAGTTTCTGAAAAATCACCCCCCCCCCCAAAAAAAAAAAAATTTTGTTTAAAAACTGCTTAACAAGTATCGGTTCTGACTTACTAAGCTAAAAAAATCATTTCCCAAAACATAGAGGGTGAGGAGCATAGAGGGAGGGAGGGAAGAGAACCCAGAAATTGCCTGCTTTGATAATTTTTTTTTACTTCTGCATTTACCAAAATACCACGAAATTTAACCATAATTGTTAATTTTTAAAAATGCAATTGATTTTAAAGGATTGTTCCTCAAGCCCCCCCCCCCCCCATAACTATTTGTTTTATAGTTAAATTGTAACTAAGATCAAATGTTACCTGCTACAATTAGAAGCGCCCAGCCAATGTTAACCTACAATTCAACAAAGTCAAATTTGTTGTTATTGCATTGTATAGATATTTATCATCGTCTGAAAATAGTTCTCTATTCTTATTGGACAGTTTCAGTTTCTCTTTTAAATTGACATTGGAGACTTTCTTCTTTTGAAAGATCAAAATCAAAAATAATATATATGTAAATAGTGCGATGGAGAGGAGGGGAGGCACGCCTCGCCGAACCCATATAACTTTCTGTCCACAATTGAATCAGAGTTTTTACCAAAATTATAACAACTATTGCACCAGTGAGCGGGAATGGTTACATAAATTACCAAAAAAATATGATTTTAATGTTTAGGTTATAATAGATGGCACCATTACATCTTTAAAATCCTAAATTAACGCTCTATTTCTCTAAAATAAGCATTTAAAAGTAAAGCCATTTTAACCGGAAGATATAAGGGTGCGGCGTGCTCTCCCCCCCTCAGACATGATTCCATTTCATTTTATAATTTTTCGCTGAATTTACTGATTTAATTAGATAAAACAATAAGACATGTTTCCTTTGCGACGTTGCTCAGCCCCATTTAACCTTACTTACATTACTTTAAATCTGAAAATAGATTCAGATAAATCATTAGTTACAACTTCAAAGAAGGGGATTCTAGCCAAACCATGATTTTAACTTGAGAAAATCACATATTTTGAATAATTAAGATTATTGTAACTAAATGTAAAATACAATGATATAACATGAAAAGTGGAGGAATGATTGGGGAAATTGTGAGAATAAAAACCATGAAAAAGAAAGCGAGAAAATTTGTTTTCAAAATTTCTTTGACAGCAAAAATGGTGGTGTTGAAAACCCGTTGCGGTATTTAAAAGAAATCCTGAGAAGCAGTGATTAAAATATGTCCAGCTGTAGAGTGGAGAGAGGGAGATGAAAAGAGGGTTCTCAACTACTACGAAGTAAATATCACACGGAAACTTGAACGTACTTTTAGAGTTGTTCGAACACGGAGGAACTGCTAGTTCAAGATAATCAAGGTTGAATGTATTCAGCTAAATACTAAACTTAAAAAAGGAATAGATTGGGGGGGAAGAGATGAGATACAGAAGTATCATGAGCTGATAAAACACGACGACCTCAAGATCGGAGGTCAGAAATCGTGCTGAGGGGTCCCTGACGATCTATGAGTAGAGGATGGTTTAGAAGTTTGATCCTTCTGGGGGCTGGCTAAGCTTGATGTTTTCCTTCATAAGCATGATACGTCTCAACTCCTAAACCCAATCATATTAATAAACAGAGCTGGGAAATTTTAAATAGAAGTATTGCGTTTAACTTATTTTTCTTCTTTTTTTCTAGTGAATTCGACGCTCTCATCAATATAAAATATATTAAAATTATAGAGAGTTTTTTTGTCCTTTTTGATACTTTTACCCAAAAAATTCATTGAATTCCCCCCTAAATATAATTTATTTTTCCTAATTCAAAGAAGATAAAACCTAAAACAAATTGTTGGCGCTCCGTGCAACTATTCATCACTTCTGGGGGATAGTAGATTTTCAAAGAGAGGGGGGGGGGGTAATTTCTCAGTGAGAATACGAAAATTATACTATCTTTATTTAAAATATAATAAAAACAAAATGGCAGAACTTGTTTTTAATTTTTTTTTATGATATGATTTATTGCCTGTAGAACTGTTTTAATTGTATAGTTCCGGTCCCACCTGAAAAATATATATTAGTCGAAAGTAAAAAATATAAAGTTAAAATAATTTATATTGAAAGTTTTAACAATTAATTGAAAATAACCTCATAAGAACTGGGACGGCTCTAGTATCAACCTAGAAAAAGATAAAGATAAATATCACAAAAACAAAAAAATAAATTTCCCCTTCAAGTAGTTCGTAGGATCTGTTTGACCCACAAAATTTTAAAATAGAATTTTAGCATATTTGAAATGGCACGGTTAAGGGCTGTTCAAAAATTAAATTTCATCATTGTTTGACATTTTTTGCAAACATTTTCAATATATAACTGGATTTTGCTATAAATTCAATTTTTGAAAATTTGCAATTTTTTTGCAGATTCTAAAGAAGACCACAAGAGCTTTCCATTGATGTATCATTTGTTATATTTGGACATCAAACATGGGATTTAGAAGGGGGGGGGGAATTGACCCCCCCCCCTCGTATCCTGGTTTTTAAGTACCCCAGCAGGGATAGGGTTAAAAAGATATAATTAAAAAAATCCTTAACTCTGAATGGTTCATCAGTTAAGTTTTAGCAAAAAAAAATAAGCAACAAAAAAGAAGAAAATTATTTGAAAATTCTTTGTATGTTAGTAAGTCAGTAATGGTTTTGGATCCGGATCCATTTTTTTCAGGGCTGATCCTGGATCCGTATCCATATCAAATGAAATTGATCCAAAGCCCTGCACTCCCCCCTTATTATATATCACCTGGATCCGGATCCATTTTTTTCAGGGCTGATCCTAGATCCGTATCCATATCAAAATGAAATGGATCCTAAGCCCCTTATTATATGTCACCTGTCCAGTAGATGAAACACAACTCATATTGATCCTTGAAGTGAATCTAACTGTTGGCGGCTGCTCTGGGTACGAATTACTACAGTAGGGCGGGTCAACGTTAGTATTTATAAATTTTCAATTACTAAAAGTTAAGACTTAAAGGGATTGTAAGCGTAATTTTAAGTGACCCTACATGCTAAGGTGGCTTTGTCCGATTTACAACAATACCCTTGATAGCTTGGTCTGATCAAGAATTAATTAAACATGAATATTGCATTTTTGTTAATTATTTTATTTGTGGTTTTTCTCCAAAAGGGACTTGTGCATCTCTTGCTTGTAAGAAATTAATAGAATTAATTACTTTTCTGAGTCAGAAAACAACGTTATCTTCGATTTTTTTATGAAGCTAGGGTTTTCAGCGTACCGTTGTAAATCGAGCATTTTCATCTTAGCATTTAGAATCACATGAAATTACAATTACAGTTCCTTTAAAGCAGTGATGTGGTCGGCAATAACAGGTGTTGAGATGACGACCCAGTGTTTATTTCTGTCTAAAAAATGGACATCGGCTCATATTTAGCCACTAAAAACAAGAACTTAAAAATATAAATTGAAACTTAAAATTTGTTCTACAAAAACGCAAAATCAGTTTAAACAGAGTTTCTGTCGTGTACAATGTGCATTTTCCAAAACTTCAAAACAAAAGTTTCAAAAATAATGTGTAGTAGGTATCAAAATATTCCACATGTACATATTGCTCATAATATAAGATGAAGAATACAACATACTTTGTACATTTCGTACATTTATGAACGATTGCTTTACAGTAAAATTTTCGGGTGGATATTTCTATTTTTCTGTTGTGTTAAAAACACAAAGCTAACGAAGACTATCCCTTCCTACACTCTATCCTTAAGCTATACATCCTGTTCTCAAATGCTGTTCGAGGCGGACCAATAATCATTCCGGTCCAGTGTTTTAGATCAATATCATCTTCATTCTCAAGACCCCAGCTAAAAAACGTAGATTTTTAAAATGAGAATTAAATACATCGGCCCCATGACTATCATCACGCTTATTGCAAAAATTATATAAACTGAAAATGTGTCTGTTTTCTTTGATTTAGACTTTTTTAATTAGACAAAAACTGTTTTATCCACATTTAGTCGTTTACAATTTAACATTATAATACTTTAAAAGGTCTCCTTTATTCATCAATACACAGTACAAAAAAATCAACTGCTAAATTTAAAAGGGGTATATATTTCTTAGAATTACAATTACCCCTCCCCCTCCCTACTTTTGGGGAAGGGGGGGGGGAAGAAATAATTCACACTGGCAAGATTTTCCTTCTTGTTTATACAGTGGCCAAAAATTGATTATTTCCTTGTGGAATCATTTAATTCCCCAAAATTAACAAACACTTTACAGAGAAAGGAAAAGTTTAACACTATAACGGGCCATTTTATTAATGAAATAAATACCCATGTGAAGTAATAAATTCTAGAAAACGATTTGACTACAACAAATAAAAAAAAATAAAAAATACTTATGAAATATATATTGAGTAATAATCTCCATTTGTTTGTTTGTCCGACTATGTCTCAGGAACCCCTTTAATCTTGATCGGAGAACTTGGTTAAAACACGTGAATGTTCTTAGCTTAGTTATGATGATCTAAATTGAATTGATTCCTTCCTAATTTGACCTGATTGTCCCGTCTCCTACTCCCTTCTGTCCCGCCTCCAGCTCCTCCAGGAGTCGGAAACTCCGGGGCATAACTGATATAAATAAATGTAAGATCTCCTTAAAATATAATATATAAAAAAATAATTTCATATTCATATGAGTGGCATGTCAAATTAACAACGGTTCCCTAAAAGGATGTGTCTGTTTAAGTACTAGTAGAATTGCAAATATCCATGTTTACGTTATAAAAAAAACGGGTCTGTCCTAGTGAACTATTTTTAGACCCCCCCCCCCTCCTATCAATTTTGTACATGACCAAAGTAGTATTTATTTAGCATTATTTAGGGTTAGGTTAGGTTAAGACATTTTCTGGGCCGAGCGCTGCAGCAAGGAAGTGCTAGGGGCCGAGCGCTGCGGCCACGATTAATAAACAGAGCTGGGAAATTTTA